GAGAGGATGCGCGGGCGGCCGGCGGGGCGTCGGGCGCGGGCTTGCTGTTCCCACAGCTTGCGAGGACGGAAGGCCAAGCGGGCGTGCTGCACAGGTAGCACCAGGTGTATTCCTGGCTCACCTCCCACCCCCGGACCTGGGAAGGTGCCTTGGCAAGTGGTGAGGCGGTGATTCTGACGCTCCTTCTGTTGTTAAGTAACCGTAGGGTCTCCTGGCGCTGAGGGAACCCGCCTCACGTTGCCAGGGTGTCTTCTTGGACTTGGAGAAGGACACCTGAGGGACCGTAACGAGCCCGAGAGGAGGCAGCGCCGGAGCCAGCGAGGCTGCTTTCCGTGTCTAAAGGGAGCAGAGTCCCCACCCCTGACTGCTTTCAGCTGCTGCCCGCCCGCCGCGCTCGGCGAAGACTCGCAAAGAGATTTCCACCGGGATGCCCTGACAGCTGCCGCCTTCCATTCGAAGTGGGTGTGGGGCGGGGAGATCGTGTGGATGAGGAACCGGGAAGATTCCTTGCTTTGCAGCTGCGACCCCACCAAACCTCTCCCACATTCTAAGGAAGGGAGGATTCCTGAGACAGCTGCTCCAAACAGCGTGGAGGCGGGGTTAATTTCGCCTGTAGACCTCTGACGGGTGTTTTTCCCCTAGTGCTTTTCCAATGTGAAAGTTAGGTTCGCCTCATTCTCAATTAGTTTACGAGATCCGTTACATTAGTTGAAAGGAGCACAGATCATCATCTGTATCCTTCCCGTCCACTTCCACTATTAACAGTAAAGCATTCTTCCTGATGCATTAGTGAAACACAAACACATATTAAAGTGGCTTTTCGTCCCTACGGTGTTCTTTAAAGCCATAGGCCTTAAAAATACATAATGTTTAAAATACTTGCAGATAATAAGTAAGTACTATGGAGCCAGAAGAAAAACTATATTGGTTTCAGAGACAAAGTAGCTTCCTAGAGAAAGGGTTATTTGAGATGGGCTTGGGAAGTGAACTGAATTTTAACTATCACATGGAAATCTGGGAGGAGGGAGGCAACATGAGAAAAGACATGAAGCACAGGAGTGTCTTCGTGAGAAAACTTTTAAAAGTTAACACCTTTTTAAAATACGAAAATGGATTCAACTGTACCACATCTCATGGATGAAATTGTTTATTAAAGATTTGTTTCCTATATGTGGTTTTAAATATTCCAAAGGTGAGGCAGACGTTTTCTCATGATCTGAAATGATGACTTGTGCATAGCCAGGGTAGAGGCAGTATCAACGACTTGCCAAAAATTTAAACACCTCAAGTTTGTATTTTAAATCCTGAAAGGAGTAAGCCTGGAATAAGGGGAAATGGGTGTGCCAGCTGGAGAGAGACAACTTTCACTTCACCGTTAACACATCTGGAGGGAAAAGGGGAGGCTTTAAACAATGAAAGGCTTCTCCTAGCATTTTGCGGCCTGGGATTTGGGCAAATAGTCTAACCTTGAGTATGTTGATATACCTGGCATATAAGTGCTCATAGATATTTGTTAAATAAATAAAGGTCTCCATTGAGAAGGAGCGGGTGATGATAGAGAAATGCCCTAAACACAGTGTGGTCACAGTCATTCAGTCTAAATGATCTAGGGCTAAGGTTTGTGTCTCCTGGATTTACAAGCTTGCTGTTAATACTATGCTGGTGAAACAAAAGGAGACATAAGACAATTATCCAACTGTTTTTTACAGTTTTACAGAATTATTCAACCTCCTGCTTTACCTTGCCTCTGGTTACAGTAAAACAAGTTGGCAAAAATCAGAGGTTCTCTGCAGAAGGAAGCATACGGGGACTTCAGTTCTAGTCAGGTCACAGTTAAAATACAATAGCTGTGGATTATTGTTTAAGGGTAAAGAATGCAACCATGGAACGCTTCAGGTGAACTATCTGCCCATCAACTATTACGCTCCTTTATGGCACAATACTTTGAACTTTGTAGCTACTTGATACGCATTATTTGGATTAAGTTAAAACTCTAAAGTTACTGAGTTTAATTTTCTGGCCTGAAAGCCCTTGCTTGAGCCTATACAACTACTACCAGTTAAGGAGAGGTACAAATGGCTACTTCAATATGGAAAGCAGTTCTACCAATTGTTAAAATTCCTTTATATCTTTGGTACTATTATGGAAGTTTCCTAGTCAAAAGCCTTTTATGAACTATCAGCACATGATTTTAAAGGACGGCCTTACTTGTATTCCTGTAGCATATACTCATCTGCAATACACACACACACACACACACACACACACACACACACACACACACACACACACACAAAGAAAGGAATAGGAAAGAATGGAAAAAAGACGACATTCCATAAAACTAGGCTCAGATTTTCCATCACCATCTAATTTTTATCTCTCTGTGACATCACCATCTTGACAGAATTAAGGACTAAAGGTTTTTATAATTTTACTTGCCTTCAGCATACATTGAAATCATAGCAGAGAGAAAAAAAAAACTGGATTCAGAACAGGAAGCCTTGTGCATAACTCAGAAGAACTCAGGCAAAGAGAATGTAATTTCATGGTCAAATCAAGAAAATTATTGGTCTACAAGCTTTTATCTATATACAAAGAAAAGAAAAATTTGATAACAAAGATAGGATGAAATTTTTCTTGTTTCTGCCAGACACCACACCCAATTCACCAACTGTAACTTATTGACATCTTGCTAGGATATAGATTAAGCGATAATTTAGGGAAAAGGTACTACCTGTATGATTTGCTATGCAGCTAGATGTGTATCCCTGGATTTGGATTTTTCTTCTCATTGTTATTCAGTGTAGCTTATGATATCATCTATGCTGGAAATTCATGGCCTTGGCTTACAGCACCCTCCTCTTGAGAAAGTCAGACATTGCTTTTACTATTCATTAAATCTTACTAATGATAAGTAAAACTTCCAATCTTAGTAGCCTTTATTAATGACCTTTTTTTTCAAACGGAGCTACTGGGGATTGAACCCAGGACCTCATGCATGCTAAGCATGTGATCCACCACTGAGCTATACCCACCCCCCATTAATGGCAATTTTATTGGACATTAGACTCTGGGAACAATTACAATTTAAGAGGAAGAGGCATTGCCTACTCTTATAGTTGGAAACTCCAAAATTTAAGATTAAAACTTAATGCAATTGTTCAATATCTAGAAGTTCAAAATAATCCACATCAACTGAATTATATTTGAGGCATTTTTAAATTCTTTTTCCCTTGTGTATATCACACAAAGGGATAGAGACTTTGAAAATGGCAACTCTACTTTCAGGATGTATGCTAGCCAAGACATACTTTTTTAAGACATAAAATATAAAGGAAGCATTTAGTTTAGTTGACATGGACATACACTGGATTGGTTGATTTGTCCTTCCTATTTTCCCATCTCTATTTCATTCTTAAGTAATGTGCAAATACATAGTCCATTTGCAGTGTTCTTTTAAAATAGTAAAATAATAAGTCATGAGACGGCAATGAAATGTACCACCTCCCCACTCCCCGCTTTGCAGTCTATATAAGTGCACATCCCTAGAATGACTATTAGCATTGTCAGCTCAGTTCTGAATTGCTTGTCCAGGTGAGGTCTCTGAGAGGCCAGTGTGTCCCCTGAAAGTGGTAGGATACCATTTCAGTCATGAAGATAGAAGTGGGCATTCACATAGGAAATTAGACACCAGGAGATTGACTTCAAGCAGCTGGGAGAGGAAATTACTTTTTCTAGCCCTCACTCTCTGGAGTTTGAACCTTGAATTGCTTGCTAATACTCCAAGAGGAGAAACCTGACTTCTGTCACGTGGAAGCACGCTTATAGCATTCCTTCTTGGAAGCCAGGTCGCTGTGTGGAGAACAATCAAGGCCCTTCAGTCAACAGCCACAGCTGAGTTCCCAGTTGACAAGCAGCACCAATTGCCTCCATGAGAGTGAGCCACCTTGGGTGTTTCAGCTGGGTTGAGCCTTCAGATGAACTACAGCCCTCCCCGCCACATGGTATAGAGTTGCACTGTTGGGTGCAGGTAACCCACACAGCAATTGTAAGAGGTAATAAACACTTGTTGATTTAAGCCATGAATTTTGGGATTGTATGTTATATAGCAATAGATAGAAAACTAAAACATCAGGAAAAACAGGTTGCTTTGGATTACTCTCCCTAATCATATTGCTTTTGTTTCTCCAGAGTATAAGCTTTAAAAAATATTCCAGCCAGGTCACAGCTATACTGTAATTTAGAGTCCCCATAATTTGGGCCTGCATGTTAAAGAGGGTGGTGGAAGTGTATTTAGCCAGAGATGCACAAGAAAAGAGGGATTTTGTGTGCTCACATTTGGGATTACAAAGTTCACAAGAAATTTTCCAGGGAGATTTTCTCTTTGATGCTGAGAAGACTTAGGTTTAATTTTATTAAAGAAAGCACCCATTTCCTTACAGATACTTCAAATTATTTTCTCTGCTAAGAAACGTACAGCCACCAAGGGAAAGCAAACCTATGTTAAAAATACAGGAATAAAATGTTCAACTCCACTAATAATCAAAGAAATGTAAACTAAAATTTTAAAAAAGTCAAAGAAATGTAAATTAAAATAGTATTGAGATATCCTTTTTTACCTCTCTCATTGCAAAGATTTACAGTAACTAGTGTTGGCAAGGGGGAAATGTACACTCTTATTTACTGCAAATATATAACATCGCTGAGAAGCAGTTTAGCAATATACTGCTCTTCCACACTGAAGAATGTATCCTAAGCTGGGGAGGGTATAACTCAGTAGGGTGAGTGCTTAGTGTGCACAAGGTTCTAGGTTCAATCCCCAGTACCTCCAATTAACAATAAATAAATAAATAAATAAACCTAATTACCTCCTCCCACCAAAAAAAAAAAAAGACTATATCATAAGCATCACCAAGTAGCTCAGAGGCAGAGTTAAAATTGTGTTCATTTT